CAATGGAGATGAGCACCACCTCTATGGTCAGACACAACTTGACAACCTTGTCAATGGGGAATACCTTTACCTTTACCCATCCAAGGACACAGGTACAGGAAGTTTCATGAGCACTAGTAATTCACAGTACACTTCTGTTCCAGCATCAGCTAAGTACCTTCCTGTTTCATGTAGATTTCCCATGAGCTCCAGTTCATCATCCTGCATGCCTTTCTCCCTTTTTCCTTGGTCTCATTCTGTGCCCGTCTTTAGGCTTTGCTGCAAATGCACCTTGGATCTGAATGTACTGCTGTGGTGATGCGCCTGATTGTGGCATCTGCAGTCTTTAACAGTCAAACCTGTCCACTTCTCATTAGGGGGCCTCCCTTGCCAGTTCTCTGGCACCTGTTCCATCTCAGGATATAGCTCTGTTTGTTTAACAAAGATATTAAGCACAGCATGATAGCTCTCAGTGGAGGAGCCAGGAAAACTGCTATCATCTATAAAGTGGAGCCTAGATTTTGTGTCTGCATCTGTGTGGGTTTGAGAGCTTATTTTTCTGAAGTCAATCGATGTCAATTATGTGTTAATAACTCTCTTTTTTTTGGTGGGGGGTATGGCAGCAGTTAATTTTGTGTGTCTGCACAGCATAGATGCAGGAAATTTGAAGGCACGGCTGCTAAAATGAGAACATCTAGGGTAGAACAAATTGCTTTTCTATTGCTATTTGTGTTTTCTCTTCCCCACATTCACCTTCTCATACTTTTTGATTTAATGGACAACAGTCCTCAGTTTAATTTTTGTCCTTGTTGATTGTTGATGATCTTCATAGCATTAATTAAATGATTTAAATCACAGAGTGGGGATTTTTAATACAATTCTGGGCTTGCATCAAGGTTAACTGTACTAAATTCCACATATGTGGGGGACTGAGGAAAGCTTGGAAAACTCAATGGAAGATAGGTATATTATGTATTGCTATGTGTTGGTGTTTTCATGGAAAGAAGATTGAGTAATTTAGATTTTAAAAAGGAGTCAGGAGAGAAACTAGGATGAAGAAAGCTCTACAAGTTACCCCTAGTAATAACTGTTTAATCTTTCAAACTAAATAATTGAATCATCTCTAGGTTGTTATTCTGGGAGGTTCTAAGAAGCATGTTTTTAAAAACATTTTTTTTCTAATTATTTTCAATTATTCCATCCATCCTAGGTTTGTCCCTTGTCTTTCTTTCAGACAGTGAAGTAGAGGTACCTTTTGAATTTCAGACACTTGGGATATAAATCTTTACATTCTTTATCCTCACAGACAAAAACAAAGAATTCCTCTACTATTTTCCCAGCTGCATGAGAGCAGAAAGTTTTTTGATTTTGTTTTTTGCAATTCTTGATCACAGTTTGCATTTCAGTGGGTGATTTTCTGTACAGAAAACAGATGAACTTCTGTGACTTGAAGGCACACAACAACAGAAATAATTTAATGTACAAAGAAATACTTACTGAAGCATAAATAATCTGGTGTTTGCTTTATGGTTGTCTCTGTTCTTACCAATGGGGTTTCCCAGGAATCAAGAAACACCTTTCACAGCCAGAAAATAACAAATATTTTTTTTTCCCATCCCTCATCTCGTTGGTTGCCATAGCCAAGGAATCAAAAGATTCAGACAGCTGTGTTGGTTGTGTATTTCCGCATGGCAGGGGGTTGGATGGGATGGCCTTTGTGGTCCCTTCCAATTTTTGTTCTATGATTCTATGGTCCATTGCAACAAAACAATTCTTGCAGTTTTTATCAGCACCTGGAGCAAGTCTTTTATAAAGTTAATGGATCTTAATATCCCATTTCAAAACTAAATTACTCAAAAATACTTTACCTAACAGTGTGATAGTAGACAATGTGATAGTCCTTATCATTGCATGGAAAACCCATCCTACTTTGGGAACTGCTATTAACAGTTAACAGAGGGACTGGAGAATCCTGGGGGAGGTGGACAGTGATGTTATCATCCCTGCTTATCAGAAAGTCTCACCTCTGTGATCCTTTAAATCCTGCTCTTCTGACATAGTCATTATGGAACTCCTAATGTTAATTGGGAAATAATGGTTGGCACAGAGATAAATAGGAGGCTGTGATTTTTAATCAAGGGGAAGCAGCTGAATTTGCAAACAGACAGAACAAGCAAGCATAACAAAAGGCCATAGAATCCCCGAGTTCAATTTATGTTTTTGTTGTTGTTGTTGTTTTTTAATCCCTACACCAACTCTTATTTATCAGTAAAGTAAACAAGTAAATAAATGAGAGAAATTTGCATGCTTGGCATTGCAACATAATTTCTTCACACTGCACTAAAAGGCTGGTTGTCTTGTTTTTAAGGAAAAGAAAAATCTAAATTGTTTAATGAGACAAAAACTCAACCCCTTGATGGTTTAAGATCAGAGTTAAGGCTCTGTTGCCTCGCAGTATGCTTGATCTTAGCCAAAAGGTTGAGAAGCTTTGTTGCCTCAAGCACAGAAAGCCAGGAAACTAGAGGATAAGCTTTAATACATATGCCCAAGGAATGATGTTGTTCAGTGTCACAAATTCTGCTCACAGTTTAGCTTTCATATGCCCACATTTTGGGTTCTTCCCAAATCTAGACAGGAAGATGGCATGCCTTGATGCAGCACGTTTGCCTCATGTTGTCATAATCCTGACTTGCCTTTCTTCTTGTTGTGTGCCTCCAAGTACTTTTTAACTTATGGTGATCCGATGACATGATTTTCTGGACATGATATGATTTTCTTTAGATGAGGTTTGCTATTGCCATGTCCTGAGGCCAAGAGAGTGTGATTTACCCAAAATCACCAAGTAGGTTTTATATGGCTGAGCTGGGATTAAAACCTGGGTCTCCAAGGTCTTAGTCCAATTCTCAAACCACTGACTTGCCTTACGTTTGCCTAGAGCAACAGTGGGGAATGTGTGTTTCAGGGACACAAGTGGCTCCTTGGCCACAATTTTATGGTTCCTGGAGCTCCAGAGAAGTCTCCCAAATGTTGTTTTGTTTTAAAAAAAATCCAGCATAAAACATCACAGAAAGCTCCCAAATGTGCAAAAAGTATACAAAGCACCTCTTAACTCCCCCTAGAACCTTACCCTCCCAGTCTCTGTTTCCATCTCAAAATGGTGGCCAGAAGTGTTCTGACATCAGGTTTTGCTGCTGTTTTTTTTAATTTTTATTGATTAAATTAAGCAACATACAGAACAAAGAAAAAATCAACAAGACATAGACAAACACATATTAACAGTACAACAAACCAATAAACACACATTAAACACAAAAACAAAACTTCCTGGACTTGAACATCGGTCTTATTACAGATTTATAATTCCTTTCCCATGTTGTTATCCTCTAGCTATGCCTTACATAAGAAGAAAAAAACAAAAGAAAATATTTTGGTTAATTCGTATCATTATTTCCAAATTCAATCCATCCTATATTATTAAAAACCAAAACTGTTTAATCCGCTCAAATATTTTGGTTTTGCTGCTGTTTTGAGAGGGACTCTGAAAATTAATGGTTGTACAGTTGTCCCTCCATTTTCATAGCAGATCCATTCTGGACACACACACAAACATGTGAAAATGGAAATTTGCAAATATTCAAGCCCCATAGGCTTGAATGGTTACATGTTCCTATGTGTGGCTCTGAATGCGTGCCATGGGCACACACACCATTTTAACCCTCCCCGCTTGGCGGTCTGTGAAGGACTGAAACCACGGATTCAAAATCCATGAAAATGGAGGAATGAGAATATTTTTGTGTTCTCTCTCTCTCTCTCTCTCTGTGTGTGTGTTGGGTCTTGTAGGGAAATTGGTCTCCAGTCCCTATGTGTTTGCCCACCCTGTGCTACATTAATCCATCTTTCTGCTGAACCATACCTATTTTATTGGAGGGAGTTTGACAAATGGGTTTCCATCACTGAAAATGCCCTTTTCTAATCACTATTCTTGCCTCATTTGGTGCTGGCTCCTAGAAGAAACTCTTGGGTGATATGCTTAGGGTCTGAGTAGGTAGACATGATAGGAGATGGCCTGTCTAGTATCATAGTCCCTGGCTTTTTAGAGATCAAGATCAGTACTGTGAATGGGATCTGAAAATGGGGTAGCAGTCAGTGCTACCGAATGTATTAATTTTGTATCATGTGTACTGAGGAGTAAGATCTTGATTGTGACACCATAATCATCTGTTTTATACAGTCGGCTCTGGTATTGACAGATTCTTTACCCATGAATACAACCATCCACGGCTTGAAAATATTTTTAAAAAGCATTCCCAATAAGCAAACCTTATGCCATTTTATGTAAAGGACACAATTTTATTATGCCATAGTATTTAATGGGAGAGGCAGCATTGCATAGTGTTTTGGGTGTTGACTTACAACTCGGAGACCAGGGTTTGATTCCTAGCTTGGCTCTGGGTGACCTTGGCCAAGTCACACACTCTCAGCCTCAGGGGAAGGCAATGGAAAATGTCCTCAGAAATCTTGCCAAGAAAACCCATGATAGGCTCACCTAAGATTCTCCAACAATGGGAAACAACTTGAAGGCACACAATAAGAGAAATAATTTATTGGGATATGACATCCAAAGATTTTGATATCCATGGGACATTCTGAAACCAAATCACAGTGGATATCAAGGGCCAACTGTACTGAATCATACTATTATTCTATTTCATTTAGTATTTTCCAATTTGATACTCTCTAGTGCTTAGTCAAGTTATTTTTATCTTGTTTTCTGAAATCTTCTGAAAATGGGACCTTCTGCATCTGCTCTGCCATATTCTTTCTAAAGCTATCCTCTTTCCATGGCCTACATTTTGGCTTTGTTGTTCTGGCTTTCAAAGTTAGGACTCTCTGGAATAGGGCAGCAATGCAGAACATGGAGATCAGGCGGTGTTCATGTGAATGGATATGTATATTGCCGTGAAGTTTGCAGCCAATGCTGTTTTATTTTCCTAAAACAAATCTTTATTAAAGATTAAAAAGCCAGTGTTGTGTAGTGTTTTGACCACTGGACTATGACTCTGGAGACCAGGGTTCAAATCCCAGCTTGGCCATGTAAACACAGTGTGCGATCTTGGGCAAGTCATGCTTTCACAGCTTCAGAGGATGGCAATAACAAACCCCCTTTGATGAAATTTGCCAGAAAAGCCCGTGATAGATTCACCTAAGGGTCACTCTAAGTCATAAAGGACTTGAAGGCACACAAAACAACAGCAGCAACAACATTTATTCTCTTTCACTGTCTGATCTTTCTGTTTATTTGTTAATTGATTCTTCATGGCTGTTGACCCATTTCCTTAAGCATAACTGAGCTAAAACCTAGACTTCTTATTTTCTCTCCAGGTTCTTTATCCACTGCTGGGTTTTTTTCCCATTGCTAGTATCACTGTTCCTACTTGGTCCTTCTGAGGTTCAGATTATGTTGTTGTTGTCATTTGCTTCAATCTTCTTCCTCTTTTCCTTCTCACATTTTCTTTGTAAAACATGGCCACTGCCAACTTATTAATCTCTTTAAAATGTGCTCCTTTCTCTTTGGCTCATTGTTTCCTTTGTTCTTTAATTTTATCTCATTTGGATTATTGTAATGTTTTACCTAAGTCTCCTTTTATGCCTTTTATTTCGGCTTTTCATTTGGCAAACTGACATTTTCTCTGCTAGGAAATGGGATCATTTGCTTCCTTATTACTGTTTCTCCATTGGCTACCCCATTCCCTCCATGGCCCATTTACATTTGTGTTATTAAGTTTTAACTTGCATTCAGTTTTTCAAGCCCTTGCTATGTTTCTTCTTTATTTTCGCTTAATTCTTCTTCATGCTTTTTTCATTCTTTTTTAAATGACAAAGATAGCTCATAGAGACCTTTAGTTGCTCTCTGGGCAGGGAATTTACTACTCACTGAAACCCAGCTGTATATAACTTTTGCTTGTATAGTTAGATCTTTTATTAAATTTATATCCCACCTCTCCCACAAATAGCCCAGGATGGCTAACAGCTTACATGAAATGACAGCACAGTACAAAAGCATTATTAAAATGATAATTCTAAAGTACAGTCTCCCTTCCATTTTCATGGACTTAGAATCTGTATCCCTTACCTGTTTGTGGGCAGCAAATGAAGGGGGATAAAATGGGGTGCATGCCCATGGACCACCATTCAAGCCAGTGAGGTTTGAATATTGACAATTTTCCATTTTTGCAGGGGGGGGGGCAGAACAGATCCTCCATGAAAACAGAGGGACAACTGTAAATAATAAATAAATGAAGGTGTGATAAAAGGATAAATAGTAAAATACTGCAAATTAAATGTAGCACTTGCCTACCCTCCAAAGGTTTCCACAAATAAATCTGGTTTTAGTTGATGCCCAGCTGACAGCATTGAGAAGATCCACTGAATTTTTAAAAAAGAAAAACAACATGTTGACATGCTCCTCTTTTCTGAAAAAGTTAGTACCCAGGAACACATCTGCTTTGTTAACTGAGGGATACCAGTATTTCTTTTATATTAGCCACCATGAAATTGTTTCTGTAAAAAAAGAAAACCACAACAAGAAAAATTTGTTAACAGTAACACCTTGCTTTATTCAACATCTTGGCTGTAATGTCATAATGTACTTAAAGAACATCTTCTACTGATAATTCTGTTCATTCTTTGTATGTGTGAGAGGCAAGCACTGACAATTATATATGAGAAGGCAGGTGTTCCACGAAAATTATGTTCAAAAATGACAATAAAAATACCAAGTTTTGTTGAGGGAGATAAACTTCTAGTGAATATATGATAATAAACATTCTCTTGCTAGGATAGTCAAATAATTCAGTGACTTTGGATTCAGATGTGAATTGATTTTATAAGCATATCCTGGAGTAGTGTGTGAAACCTTTGGTTTTCTCAGTCTGTAAAATATGGTGCCAAACAGAGCTTGGAAATAACTTGTTATATATAGCTGTGTAATTTGTTCCTTTCACCAGTAATGAAAGCATAACGAAGGGCCAAAACAGACCAGCAAAAAATGCTGGCTTCAGGGTGGCATGGGGGCATGGAATATACATGGCACACAAACTGACACTGCCCCCAAGCCAGCATCACACTGCCCTGCTGACCATACATGGCATTTCTGCGGCATGGCATTTACACACACTGTGCCACAGAAATGCCCAAAAACTGCTGTGATGGTGGCAAAGGAACCTTTTTCCTGGTGCAAAAAGGAGAAGCTTTCTGCCCATTCTTTTTGTTCTGGGAAAATGATGGGTTGGGAGCATCGCATGCGGTTGTCACTGCCCCAAACTGGCGATCTCTTTTGTCACTAAGTTATGTTACACTTGTAACTTAGCAACAAATAACTTCTTCTGTGGTTTGATCTGTAACTAAACTGTTACGGCTTACACCACAGATTTTATACTTAAGACAAATTTCAGATTTGATTGTTGTGAGGTCAGAATCTTACACAACAGATAGGTTTCTTGGGACCTTTTGGATATGTCACCTCACATTTGAAACTGTTCATCTTGGTGTGTATTACTTTGTACACAACTGCTTCAAGATGCAGACAAAATACCACACCTACAAATCTTTGTTCCTATCCCTGGTGCTATGGAAAAAGAAACTGGACTTGGCCTTTCTCTCTCAAAATTCCTCTCCCAGGTTTCCAATGCTCTTCCTAGATCACCCTTAGCCAAATGGTTTTCCATTTGCTCTCTGACCTTCTAGATTTCTCAAGTCTTCCACATTACCAGTTGCCTGATCCCATTTTTAGCTGGGTATGTCAAGATAAAAGCGTGTGTTACAGCACTGAGCTGCAGTTCCTGTATTACTGTACTGATGTTCCACCCTTTTTGCCGATTTATTTTTCTTTATTTTTAAGTCCATAGTTGCATTCTGGGGAATGTTCACCCATCAAATGTGGCATGCTGATCTGCTCATTCCTTATGTTCAGAATAGCATTATTTAGATAAGCTGCAGTGACTAGCAATTGGGCTTATGCTGCCTTGTGCTTCCAGTGCTGTCTCCTCTCTTGTTGGCATTATGCAGAAAGATAGGCTGGCTTTCTCTTTTAATGACCTTGTCGCTTGTCTTGGGAATTAGTTAATGCTTTTTAACATAAACAGCGAGCAGCCTGGGATGAGGCATGCAGACACATACTTCCCAGTGAGCAGACAATTGATGCTGGATGGTTTGTGTGTATTTTACCCTTGACAAGTTAAGTCACCCCTAAATCCTCCTACCTACCTACACATCCACACACACAGACATGCACACATGTACTGCCTCACACAGACATCCATCATCCATAGTATTTGTATTATTTCTCTTTCAGAGTCTTCACTTGTGCCAATAATTTTTTCATATGTGGAAACTGTGGTTTATTTCTTTGCTCCTTCCTCTCATAGAGTGCGTGCTTTAAAACCACATCTGTACTGCCACTTACGCAAATAAATCCTTGGCTGGACAACATATTTCCATGTGTTTATGGCAAAATTATGCAGCCAGACATAAAAAACTGAAAAGCAAGGTTGCTTGAAGGTGCAGTGAGGTAAATAGCATTTTCGCTCACATGCAGGATTTGATATTATGGGAGAAAGTGAGGTACAAAATCCACTGGTCATGATCCAGCCTTAGTCAAGCACATGAAAGTATCATTGAATTTGGTGTGTGTATATGTGTGTGTGCACTAAGCAGGTGCTTAATCATCTCATTCAAAAGAATGGGTCTAAAAATCTTTTGTTGGTGGGAGAAAGTAGAGCCCCCTAGATGTTTTTCACTTATTCAGATGAGCATTTTTTTTTGTACTAACATAGTGGCCTTATTCCAGTATTGTTGTTGTTGTTTGTCATTAAGTTGGCTTTGACTTATGGCAGCCCTATAAATAAGTCCTCTGCTACTCTGCTCAAATCCCTGGACATGAACTATCATACTCAGGTCTTGCAAACTCAGGGACATGGCCAGTGGCATCACCACCCCTGATGTTACCCGATGCTGGGGAGTGGGGCAGGGCTGCCAGGAGGCATGGCCAAAAGCCTTCCTTTGGAAGGAACTGGCATCTCTGCTGTGGCACTGGCTGATCATTTGAAGACACATTGGGGAGAGCTGGCAGGACAGTGGTGGTGGCAGTGGGGCAGGAGCCAGGTACTGGGTGTCCTTTCCTCAGGGGGAGAAGGATGGTTTCCAAATGAGTGCCAGAGTCTCCCACAGTTGTGCCTGGCTCCACTCCACTTCACCCCAAGGCCATCCTTCATTGTCAGGATGGATGAGGGCTGTGGGTGATCCAGTAGCAGCAGAGGGGGGGTGCACAAGGTGGCTGGGTGGCCAAGGTGCTATGGCAATGGAAGAGGCTTACCTGGGCAGTTGACTGGCATGGCCATGGTGAGGAGCAGAGGTGGAGGTGGAGCAAACTTCATTCCTTCAGCCACTGCACCCGAGCTGTGGGAGTAGGAGAGAACCAAGGCTGCTGCCAGCTTAGCGCTGACCAAAGGCGGGAGTGGGTGGGTGAGGGTCACAGGTGGGGCTTCAGCTGCCCTCTTTCTCTTTCCTTCTCTTCAGGCAGCACTTCATGGGTGGAGGGCCCAATCGGGTGTCACCCCTTCTCTAGGGTATCACCCAGTGTAGGCTGCACCACTGCACCCCCTTGGATTCCATTGTAGCTGCTAAACAAGTCACATCATGTGACTGAAAGACCCATTTCAGAGTTACCAGAGTTTGGTTAATGTAGCTGTGAGCAGGTGCTATGACAGGATGAGGCAATACCCTTGACCTTCAGTCCATTCATTGCCCTTCAGTCATTAGAATTTGTCTATGGATTTGAAAATTGCTGGATGATGGTGAAAATGAGAAGAGGTGGCTAGGTAACAAGCTGACCATCTGTGATTTAAGGACTATGGGGAAACTCAAGTCTTTTATATACCTTGCCCTCTCAGTACTCTATCTTCTCTTTTTTGCTTGCTCTAGCAAAATGATTCCAGAGAAGCAAACACATTCCTCTCACTCATTCACAATATTTGGGCCATTAGGAGAAAGATGGGCATTTTCACTGGGATTGGAGAACACTTTCAGTCCCCTT